TAGGTTGAGTAGCACAAATTTTTTATATTAGGTCTCATTCAACCTAGAAAAGTAGAATCAACAACCTGAGGCCTTAAAGGAAGCTAGCTAAAAGAAAGAACAATTAACAAACTATAAGAAATTTATAGCCAATAATATTAATCCTATGAAATATATATTATAATATAAGAAAGCAAAAGTTTAAACTGAACCAAGGACAGCCAAGCATGGCCCTTGAGGTTTGCATAGGTAAATGGACTTGGATTGACACTTGCACATGATTTGCAAGTGTAGAGAAGATGGGCCGAATGGCCCATAGGCTGTTTATCCTTTTTTCTTTTTTATRTTCTTTGYTGTAATGGGCYTTAATCTGGGATTTATTMTTTCTTACACCCCTAATTCCATTTCATTAAGTTAAACTTTAMTAATTTACARAGAGGCCCCTAGTTGGGTAGAAAATTAAAAAACATAACACAAGAAAGAATTTTTGATAGTAGTCGATTACAGATTTCTCAACTAATATTTCTCAGTTCTTCTTCTTCTTCCTTTCGTTTTTCTGGTGCGAGAAATCTGGCCCTTGAGGTTTGCATAGGTAAATGGACTTGGATTGACACTTGCACATGATTTGCAAGTGTAGAGAAGATGGGCCGAATGGCCCATAGGCTGTTTATCCTTTTTTCTTTTTTATRTTCTTTGYTGTAATGGGCYTTAATCTGGGATTTATTATTTCTTACACCCCTAATTCCATTTCATTAAGTTAAACTTTAATAATTTACAAAGAGGCCCCTAGTTGGGTAGAAAATTAAAAAACATAACACAAGAAAGAATTTTTGATAGTAGTCGATTACAGATTTCTCAACTAATATTTCTCAGTTCTTCTTCTTCTTCCTTTCGTTTTTCTGGTGCGAGAAATCTGGGGTAGAAGACTGCGCACAACCCAGATTCTTGCGGCAACCTCTAGGTTTTTTTTTTTTTTTTTTCGTGTAGACTGTTGTCACCATGGGTGTGACAGTTTTGGTGGTCGAGTAGGTGCAGTTGTGGTGGTTTGAACCCTCTAATAAGCAGTTTCAAGAGGGATTCTTTGTGGTTTAAATCTGCATGTTAGCAGTATAGTGGTGGTTGAAGTGGCCGAATGTATGCTAAGGCTAGTACTTGGTGATTACAAGTGTGCTTGTGTGGTAGCTAACGAACTGTAGTGCAGTGGTTGGAACTGTTTTTTTTTGTGTGACGGGCAGAACCAACTTTGTAGACTGAAATGACTACGATGGGATATGCGAATGGTGACTAGAAATCGAGTGTCATGATTTCCTCTGATTTTTTAAATGGGAGATGTCCTTCCATTGTCCTTGGACCTTCATAGGATGGCTGGACTCAAGGAGCATTTAGTGTAAATGTTGGGCCCATTAAGAGCCCATATTGATGGATTCAGGGGTTCACTGTGATTATTAGTGAATTCGGCTAGGCTTTTTCACAGAAGCTGGGCCAAACCCATATGGGCTTATGTGAGGTCATTTGCTTAATGGGCCTAAAGCCCATGATTAATTGGATTAATCAAGATGTCACATGACAGCTTAAACCGTCATGTGGCATGGGTGAATATGGGTATGGATATGGGTGTGGATCAGCAATTAGGATAAGAGGATAACTCTTATCCACTTAAAGAGTCCAGATCCAAATAAAGATTTGGATTAAAGACTCCTCCTAATTAGATTATGAGTGCTGATCTTTAAGGCTTATAAAACGAGGAGGAGGCGAACTGCTCAAATCACTCAACTGCTCTTAGTTCTCTCTCCTTCTGCTCTTGCCGCCCAACCCAAGTTTGTTCTCCACTTATTGACTGATCTTGATCAGTCTTTGCTTCTGATTTTGCAAGAAAAATCAGATTCAACTTGTGCTCACTTCCCTTGCTCGACCCAAGCTGTTGGATTACAGTTCTTGCTAAAGGACTGTGTTGTTGAACCGGCTTCAATTCAAGCTGCGCCATCTTCAGTGGAAGCTGATTTTGGTACCCTCTTTGGGCGTGAACTACCACTTCGGGAACTACACGTGTGGATTCTGTATCAGGTATTCTTCTCCCTTTCTTTTGGTTTTAGATCTAGTTCGGTTTCAGTGCAAGAATGATCCTTGAAAAATACGATTTTTCTAAAACTGGGAATACGATTCCCATAAGGGAAAAGAGAAATTTTTGAAAATTTTCCCTACCATTTAGCATGGTTCGGCCATCCATATGATGGATTTCCCCTTCCTTCACTAGTGAGGGCTTTAGCACAAAGCATAAAGATGTACAAAGATAGGGGGTCCCGTTTCCTGATTCCCCTCTCACCTCATTGGAAGGAGAAACATTAATAAGAATATGAAAGAAAGCAGATTTTATGCATTCCAGAACAATGCACTATGCTGGAATTTATTAGTTACAGGCATAACCGTCAACATGTAAAAAAGGACAAAGAAACTTATCAGCTTACTATACACGTTAACATAGTTTGGAAAGAGTTGGACTACTACCAAAACACTAAATATTTGGTCTCCCTACAAAGGGTGTTTGCTTTCATACTAGGCCTTAACCCATGTATGAGCCCATTTGGGTATAAATTTGAGGCAGCAAGGATCTCCCTTTTGTCCAAGAGGTGCATGCATTGATTTAATTTGTGGAGAGCAGGAGATCTGCTATGAATCCTTCTGAGGGCAACACCATGGCTCCAGTTCAACAAAAAAGGAGAAATCAAAAATCTAGACACACCTGTGAGACATGTTGGAAATTGCAGGGGAAACTAAAGTGGGCACAAGAATTAAGCAAGAAATAATCACAAGAATCAAGCACGAAGCCAAACCAAAAGTTCACCTCAGCCAACTTTGCAACTCATTACCCTCAAAGTGGTTTATCTACACTCCTTCTGCAATATTGTAGAGCTATTTGACAGGCAAATTCTGAATCCACCTCTTCTATATCGTTTGCCTCTTCCTTAGATAACTTAGCCTCTAATTTACACGTACCTACTAATACCCTAGAATCCCCGTGCATTATTGATTCTGGTGCCTCCAACCATTTGACTAGTAAGTTAACATTTTTTTCAATCTAATACCTTTTTTTTTGATAAACGAATGATATTTTATTCAAAGGAAACAGAAAGATGTTACAATACAGACTGCCATTATAATTATTCACTTTCAACCTGTACTAGGAACTAGGGGTGTCAATCGACCGGTTTTGGTTTGGATCCAATCCGATCCAAACCATATCAATTCGGATTTGGATGGTCCATTATAATTATTGGATTGGGCCAATCCAAAATAAATTGGTCCATATTCTTATTGGTTTAAATTAGACCAAAACCAAATTTCCAATAATCCAATCATGAGGCCAAACCCTTGTCCAATTTGATATCAATCAAAACTAAAAACATAAAATCACTTTATAAAAGTACTTTTACAAAAGCACTTTTACGAAAACATTTTTCTAAACACACTTTTATAAAAGTACTTTCATGAAAAGTTTTTATGAAAGCACTTATATAAAAATACTAAGAGCACTTTTACAAAAGTACTTTTACGAAAGCACTTTTGTACAAAATCACTTTTACAAAAAAACTTTTACAGAAATACTTTTATGAAAGCACTTTTGTAGAAGTACTTTTATAAAAGCACTTTTATGGAAGCACTTTTAGAAAATCACTTTTATGAAAGAACTTTTAAGAAGCCACTTTTACAAAAGTACTTTTTTGAAAGTACTTTCATAAAAACACTTCTACAAAAGTACTTTTACAAAGTACTATAACATTATGAAAACACTTTTATGAAAGTACTTCTATAAAAGTACTTTTACAAAAGTGTTTTTATAAAAGTAATTTTACAAAAGTGCTTTTATAAAAGTACTACTAAAGTACTTTTACAAAAGCACTTTTCTGAAGTACTTTCAATAAAGTGCTTTTGTAAAAAAACTTATGAAAATATTTTTATCAAAGTACTTTTACGAAAGTGCTTTTTCAATGCCAAAATATTTTTATCAAAGTACTTTTACAAAAGTGCTTTTTCAATGCCAAAAGTGCTTTTATATAATTTTTGATATTTCATTTGGTTGGAACAGTGCGGCTTTCGTTGGATAATATGTAAATTGGTTAAACATAAAAACTTTATGAGTGCAAATGAAAAAACATGTTGGTAGTGTCTTGTGTGTAGCAGAGCAATTTTATTTGCACTAGTACAGGAGTAAATATGAAAAAAATGCAAATTCTCGTTTAATTTTGTTTTGGGTTTTACTTTATTCTGCTTCATGTCTTAATTTACTTCATTTGTAATGCAATCAAACAAAATAAGCTAAAATTTGAAACAAGAACTGGTCAGAATTTACACTTAAATCATTTGAACTGTCACAGTTCCACACCAGTGCAAATTTATTTGCATTGCAACCAAACACAGCCTATGTTAACCTAATTGATAAGAAGAAAAAATAAAGAGCAAGTTACCAACATTCTTTAAAGACTATTCTTTTTTCTTCCAGCATGGGACTTAGCATCTACTAGCTGCTTCACCACATCCCTCATTGTGGGCCTCTCACTTGGTTGCTGTGCTGTACATTTCAGTGCCACCAACAGCACCTTTGTTACTTCTGCTAGGACAGAGGAATCCAAGACTTCTTCAATGAGGCTTGGATCCACAGTGCTATTGATGGACTAAGTTATACTCCAAATTGAACTTACCCAATGGACTATGCCAGTGTCCTGGGGAAATGAGGTATCCAAAGCCTTCTTTCTGGTTATTAGTTCAAGCAAAACCACACCATAGCTGTAGACATCTGATTCCTTGTTCTTTGCCACTCCATATGCTAATATCCAAAGGGACAGACCTGGTGCTATATATCCAATAGTGCCCGCTACCGTGATGGTCTGAGGCAGAAGAATGACCCAGGAGTTTGGCAATGCCAAAATCAGAGATATGAATCTCCATCTCCATGTCCAATAGTACGTTATTTGGTTTGATATCTCGGTGCACAATAGCAGGATTGCAGTCATCATGAAGATAAGTTAACCTTGTGAAATTCCCAGTGCCATCCTGTAACGCACTTCCCACTTGAGAACTGGAGGAGGTATTATCACATGTAGAACGTCATGGAGGCTTCCATTCTCCATGTATTTGTGCAAGATCAACCCATAGTCTTTCCTCAACCAGAAATCTTCCAATCTCACCAGATTTCGGTGTCTGATCTCTCCAGAAGTCTGGATTTCCCTAATCATGCTCTCACTTGCACCTTTATGGTGTGAAAATGCAAGTTTCTTTACAGCATACAGTTTCTCTGGACCCAATATTACTTTGTAAACAGTCCTATGGGCTCCTCTGCCAATGATAAATCTATCATTCAGATTATCAGTGGCCTCAATCACTGCATTCAGTGAGAGAGTTGAACCTTCACCAACAGAACTTTCAACTTCTGGTTTTGATCTTCTGAACTCAAAAAATACATAACTAAACAAGAGAATCACTAGAACACAAAATAGCAATGACCCAATATCTATCAATGCAATCTTTACTCTAAAGCTTTTCTGATCACTGGATCGATGATTACAAGGAGTAAAGATTGCTGTTCATGGTGCAATTGGATCCATCCCCAAGAAGACAAGGAACACAGATTCCTGGGTTCCCCAAGAATGATGAAGGAGAGTACTTTAGCAATTTAATTAATGTATTTGGTACAGGACCAGTGAAGAGATTATATGAAACATTCACATCCATCAATGATCGGAGTGCATCAAGAACTTCCAAACTTCCTGAAAGATTGTTGTGAGATATATCCAAGCTTACAATCTTATTCAACTTCCCAATCTCTGATGGAATTTCCCCAGTCAGTCCATGATCACTGAGGTTCAAAGAAATGACTAGGTTCTGCAACAATCAAATTGATGAAGGGATTTCACCCCCAAGAAGATTTCCTCCAAGTTGCAGCTCTAGAAAGTTATTAAATGCTGCCAAGAAATCTGGAATACCCCCATTGAACTTATTCTCTTTCAGTTTCAACTTCGATGATTGGGTTAAGCTTCTTAGGCTTGATGGARTTCAACCCCAGGTCCATATCCAATAAATTCTTACAGTTTGAGATCTGTGGAGGCAATGTACCTAAGAGATTGTTATGGGACAAATTTAACCGCCCTAGGTTCACAAGGTTTCCTAGTTCTTGAGGTATAGAACCCTGTAAGTTCATTGATGGACAAATTAATTGTGTCAAGATTGGTACAGTTCCCCATGCTTGAAGGAATTGTTCCTGTTATTTTATTACCACTAACGTCCATGAAAAAGAGATCCGGATTTTGCACAAAATCAGGA